ACGGGGGGATACCGCTCCAAGCGTTAGCCCTGCACGGGTTGTCGGGGGACGGCCATCGACCAACGTTGAGGGGCCCAGTGGTGTGGTAGAAGGGTCGGAATCTGACATTTCTCAGGAAGATGTCGACGAGTTTGTGGGCGGCCTGACCCATGTAGAGACGACGACGGAAGGTTCTGACCGTCGCATTATAATTTCGGCGACTTTCAATCTTCTGTCGAATAGTGAGCAGGCCGCCTCGGCCTTTACTTTGCTGTGTGCTGCCCCTGAAAGCAGGACGCTCAGTACGGTAGGCGACGTGGAGCTGTCCCGCAGGGTGTCGGGCATGGCTTTACAAGTACTTTTTATTCCCTTCCTTTTGTGTTATTGTCGAGCGGGTTTGGGGTGTATTCGCTCACTTTTTCTCTTTTACAGACCCTTGTACTGGAGGTGGAGAGGGGACGTCGTGAGCGGAAGCGGACTGCCCTCTTTAAGAAGATGTTAAAGAAATACAGGAAGTACCGCTCTAAACATCGAGCGGAGGCTGGTAGGGGGCAGTCCCAGTCGGAGCGCAGGGGAGCCGAACTGGAGGAGGCGGACAGCAAGCTGAAGAGGGTTTTAGCCCGCAACAGCGAGTTAGAGGAGCTCCTCAAATCCAAAGATGACGAGCTCGAATTGAGCCGGGGGGTGGCGGTGGAGAACGCCGAATTTCAACGGAGAGTGGCGGAACTGACTGCTGAGCTCGATGCCAAGGCGGCGGAGATTCACAGGCTTTCACGACCTTCTGCTTCCCGCCCTTCGCCTGTACAGATTGCGCGTCGTAATGCGCATGAGATGTGGATTTTTGCAGAAGCCAAGGTCGATGTGTACAGAGAGCTTCATGCTGCGGGCCGGGCTACCAAGGAAGAAGTCCAGAGACGAAGGGACGAGGCTCGTGCCGCTCGTGAAGTGTACGGTTACGATTCCGACTCTCCCGATGGGGGCGGGCTTACTTCCGACGATATCAACCATCTTGAATCTGATTCGTGGTATAGTGATGTCTACCATTTGGGGGATGATGGGAAATCTTGACCGTATGTATATGTACGTTTTTTGTTTACATAGTGTATTACGACCCGCTCGTGGGGGTGAATGTAAATGTGATTTTTGTTGTAATATAATTTTTCCTTTATTGTCTGTTTTTTCGTCATATTGTTTAGTTTTGGTAGAGCCTTTCGTTTGTCGAGTTGTCGTGCCGTGGTTCCACTGGGGTCGACCTGATATCGCTGGCCTTAGCCGTCAGGATGCTACTGACTATTTTAATGGCGAAGGCACTTAGCCTGAGTCCCAATTCGAGCGAGGTCGAACTGCACTATTTTAATGGCGAAGGCACTTTGCCTGAATTATAGTTCGAGCGAGGTCGAACTGCACTATTTTAATGGCGAAGGCACTTAGCCTGAGTCCCAGTTCGAGTAGGGTCGAACTGCACTATTTTAATGGCATAGGCACTTAGCCTGAGTCCCAGTTTGAGCGGGGTCAAACTGCACTATTTTAATGGCGAAGACACTTAGCCTGAGTCCCAGTTCGAGCGAGGTCGAACTGCACTATTTTAATGGCGAAAGCACTTAGCCCGAGTCCCAGTTCGAGCGGGGTCGAACTGCACTATTTTAATGGCGAAGGCACTTAGCCTGAGTCCCAGTTCGAGCGAGGTCGAACTGCACTATTTTAATGGCGAAGGCACTTAGCCTGAGTCCCAGTTCGAGCGAGGTCGAACTGCACTATTTTAATGGCGAAGGCACTTATCCTGAGTCCCAGTTCAAGCGAGGTCGAACTGGTGTCGACTATTTTCTTGTTTGCGTAATGGAGATCTTGTTCATACAATGGAGATCTTTATTGATTCAATGGAGAATTCTATTCATACCATGGAGAATTCTATTCATACAATGGAGAACAACGGAGATACTACGGTAGTCCCTTCACCAAGTTGGCCTACGTGGTGAACTCGTGCTTCTTGTTCCATCGGGCGTCCCCTTCGTCGCCTCGTTAAAAACCTTCCCGAGAAAACCCAATTGGGACAAAACTCCGGTAAGGGAAAAAGAGTACGACTCGGGCGACACCTTTCAGAAGTGGAAGTGCTTGAGATGGGCGATGTTCCAATTGTTTTGGAGTAACTTTCCCTCCATCGTTTCTAGTTGGAATGCTCCTTTGCTAGCTGCCACCGTAATTTTGTATGGTCCGTCCCAGTCGGTCCCTAACTTTCCTTCATTTGGATCTTTTGATGCCAGTGTTTTGGCTTTGAGAACATAGTCGCCGACTTTAAGCGGTCTCACCCTGGCTTTCTTGTTTTAATATCTTTTCGCTTGTTGTTTTTGGGCGGCCATTCTTATGTGGGCCATGTCTCTTCGTTCTTCGACCTCGTCTAGGTCTTGTAACCTGCTGATGTCGTTGTCTGCTCCACTGGTGTGTGAGTATCTCAGACTGGGTTCTCCGATCTCGACGGGTATGACGTCATCAGTTTCATAGACCAATGAATAAGGTGTCTCCCCCGTGCTGGATTTGGGCGTAGTCCGGTATGCCCATAATACCTCGGGTAATAACCCAGGCCACAACCCTTTGGCTTCTTCGAGCTTCTTCTTTAATATGTTCAGTATTGTTTTGTTTGAAGATTCGGCTTGACCGTTAGCAGCGGGATGATACGGGGTGGAGAGTATCCGCTTGATGTGCCACTTCTCGAAGAATTCGGTAGTCTTTTTGCCGATGAATTGGGGTCCGTTGTCGTAGCTGACCTCTTTGGGGATGCCAAAACGGCATATGATATTTTTCCATATGAATGCGATTACCTCTTGCTCGCGTATTTGCGCGTACGCACCTGCTTCGATCCATTTAGAAAAATAGTCAGTTAAAACTAACAGAAAGCGTACCTTTCCTCGTCCAGCTGGTAGGGGGCCGATTATGTCCATCCCCCATTTTATGAACGGCCATGGCGAAGTGACTGAGTGGAGGAGTTCTCCTGCCTGGTGTATCATAGGGGCGAACTTCTGGCATTGTTCGCATCTTCGGACGTAGTCCGTTGCCTCCTTCTTCATGGTGGGCCAGTAGTAACCGGCGCGTATGAGGCATCGGACAAGAGCGCGGTTCCCCGTATGGGCGCAGCAATGGGCTTCATGCACATCTTCCAAAACTTGCCTCGTTTGGTGTGGCCCGAGACATTTAGCAAGGGGACCACCGAACGTTCTCTTGTAGAGCTCGTGGTTTATGAGGCTGTAGCGGGCTGCTTGTACCCGAAGTTTCTAGGCTTCCTTTTTGTCGTGTGGGAGTGTCCCGTCCTGCAGGTAGGATACAAACTGGTTGCGCTAGTCCCAAGTTAAGATTAATGAGAGTACCTCGACATGGTCGAGGCTGAATGGAGGAGAGTGACCACGTTCTCTTTGTTGATATTTTTGGTGGCTACGGCTAGTTTTGCTAGGCTGTCCGCCTCGATGTTCTGTCCCCGAGGAATCTGCTCGAAGCGACATTCGTCGAACTCCGTCATCAGCTTGCGGATTTCTGACTGGTATTTTTGTAGCCTCTGTTCCTTAATTTGGTAGGTTCCGGTGACCTGGTTTACGACGAGTTGGGAGTCGCAATGGAGGAGGACCCGTCGGGCTCCGTATTTGATGTCCAGCTTCATACCTGCAATTACAGCCTCATACTCGGCTTCGCTTAGTCATTTCAGGGCATCATACGGACTGGTGAATTACTTCTCCCATGGGGACCTCGAGGACGAGTCCCAGTCCTGATCCCGAGGCGTTTGCGGCGCCATCGGTGTAGAGGATCCAGAGGCCGGTGTTTGCAGAGGCGCGGAGGGCCTCTTGTTCCACCTCTAGCAAGATTCCCGTACTAAAGTCGGCGACGAAGTCGGCAAGTACCTGCAACTTGATGGCGGTTCTCGGGTGATAGGTTATGTCATGCTCGCTGAGCTCTATGGCCCATTTGGCGAGCCTTCCTGAGAGTTCAGGTTTGTGTAGGATGCCCCTTAGGGGGAAGGTTGTTATCACCTTTATGGGGTGGCACTGAAAGTAGGGTCTAAGCTTTCGTGAAGCTACGACTAATGCCAAAGCCAACTTGTCGAGGTGCGGATACCTCGTTTCGGCATCTATCAGAGTTTNGATAGAGTGGGTCGACGTTGAGTTTGTGAGTGGTGATGTCTTTTGATATCCCTGGCATGTCAAAATGGGAGAAGGCGAACAGACCTATATGGTTAGTTAAGAATTCATGGTACTTACCTGGGTCGGAGAGGTTATGCCCGATGTAGGCTTTTTCGAACTGTCTGTACTGTCCAACATGACAGGGTCGAGGTCCTCAACTGTCGCTTTGCAGGCTTCCACGATATCGGGGTCCCTGATGCCTTCCGTTGTCGGGGTGAATTTGGTCCCCGACATGGCTGATTGCTATGCTTCCGCACTTGCCCCTTTCAGTTGCTTGGTGTGGGTGCAATCTTGGGCGATTCGGTAACATTCTTGGGCGGTGCGTGGCTCGCCTCGGATACTGAATATTCCCCATGGGGTGGGAAACATGATTACCTGATAGAGGCTCGATGGGACGGCTCGCATAGCGTGTATCCATGGACGTCCTATGATGATGTTGTAAGCCATTTCCTGGTTCATGATGTGGAAGGTGGTGTCTAGCGTGACTCCTCCCGCCAGGACCGGCAGTGATATCTCTCCGGAGGTGCGTTCTACTGCATTGTTAAAACGCGTTAGTGTTATGCAACACGGTATTACTTTATCCTCAAGCCTCATTTGCGTGAGGACTCTCGGATGGATAATACACGCGCCGCTTCCGTCGTCTACCATAATTCTCTTTACATCAGTATCAGCAATGCGTAAGGTTATGACCAAAGCATCATAGTGAGGGAAAGACAAACCGTCAGCATCAGACTTATCGAAGGTGATACTATTTTCGAAGTCATCATACCGTTTGTGAGCGATTGTGCGCTTCAGTTTATGCGTGGTGGTGAACTTGACGTGGTTGATTGTCGAATTATCACCGCCGCCGACAATCATCTATATGGTTCGTGTCGGGGACGGCAATTTTGGCGGCCCTTGAGATTGGTCGCGTCCCCTGGCAAAGTTGGCTCTCCCTTTGTCGCTGAGCAGGTCCTTCAGGTATCCCTGGTTCAGCATCCTGACTACTTCTTGTCGTAGGCCTATGCAGTCTTCGGTCCTGTGTCCCCGTTCCTGGTGGAACTTGCACAGGATGTTTGGTTTTCTCGCACTAGGATCTGATTTCATTTTTGGCGGCCAGTGTACCTTCGGGCCTAGCTTCTCCAGTGCGTATACTATCTCTGAGGGTGAGACACAAAAGTTATGAGGGGATAATAACGGAGGCATATCTCTTTCATTCCGGAGCGTAGCAGTATGTCGTTGCAAGGCGTCCTGGTGTCTCGGAGGAGGCGGGTTAGGGGCTCTAACGTAGGGCTGATGCCTTTCTCTGTTAAACCGTGGGAGTGGGTCCCGTCGCCCGTTGTTGCGTCGATCTCTCCTGGTTTTCGTCTGTACTGACGTTATCCGCTGGGTCGGACCGTTAAGGTCGTCCTCGTCTGCCCTTACCTCTGCACAGTAGGCGTTGTGGATCTCCTCCCACGTTGTGGGGGGATACTTCATGAGTCGGCTGAGTAGTTTCTTGGTTGCTTTCGACCCGTCCCTGCTCAAACCGTTTTGGAAGGCGGCAACTGCCATTCCCTCCGATACGTTAGGCAGGCTCATTCTTACTCTGTTGAATCGTGCCAGGAAGTCCCTGAGCCCTTCGCCTGTCGCTTGCCTGATCGCAAATATGTCGTTAACCCTTGCTTCATCCTTCTTTGCTCCCGCATGGGCGGTAGCGAATTTGTCCGCCATCTCCTCGAACGTTGATATCAACCTAGCCGGCAGTTGCGAATACCATGTTAGTGCCCCTCCGGTCAGGGTTTCTCCGAACTTTTTCAGCAGCACGGACGGCACCTGCTCCTTTGACAAGTCATTTCCTTTCACAGCGGTTACGTAGTGGATCAGATGATCTTCTGGGTCCGTGGTCCCATCATATATTCTCAAATATGGAGGCATCTTGAAGATTTTTGGGATCGGATGAGGGGCGGCTTCCTCGCTGTACGGTTGCTCGACGAAACGTCCTACGTCGCGTTTCGGCAGTAATTTTGGTGCANTGCTCCTTTGCTAGCTGCCGCCGTAATTTTGTACTGGCCCGTTCCCAGTTTGGTCCCTAACTTTCCTTCGTTCGGATCTTTCGATGCTAGTGTTTTGGCTTTGAGAACATAGTCGCCGACTTTAAGCGGTCTCACCCTGGCTTTCCTGTTGTAACATCTTTCCGCTTGTTGTTTTTGGACGGCCATTCTTATGTGGGCCATGTCTCTTCGTTCCTCGACCTCGTCCAGGTGTTGTAACCTGCTGGCGTCGTTGTCTGCTCCACTAGTGTGTGAGTATCTCAGACTGGGTTCTCCGATCTCGACGGGTATGACGGCATCGGTTCCATAGACCAATGAATAAGGTGTCTCCCCCGTGCTGGATTTGGGCGTAGTCCGGTATGCCCATAATACCTCGGGCCACAGCCCTTTGGCTTCTTCGAGCTTCTTCTTTAATATGTTCAGTATTGTTTTGTTTGAAGATTCGGCTTGACCGTTAGCAGCGGGATGATACGGGGTGGAGAGTATCCGCTTGATGTGCCACTTCTTGAAGAATTCGGTAGTCTTTTTGCCAATGAACTGGGGTCCGTTGTCGCAGCTGACCTCTTTAGGGATGCCGAAACGGCATATGATATTTTTCCATATGAATGCGATTAACTCTTGCTCGCGTATTTGCGCGTACGCACCTGCTTCGATCCATTTAGAAAATAGTCAGTTAAAACTAACAGAAAGCGTACATTTCCTCGTCCAGCTGGTAGGGGGCCGATTATGTCCATCCCCCATTTTATGAACAGCCATGGCGAAGTGACTGAGTGGAGGAGTTCTCCTGCCTGGTGTATCATAGGGGCGAACTTCTGGCATTGTTCGCATCTTCGGACGTAGTCCGCTGCCTCTTTCTTCATGGTGGGCCAGTAGTAACCGGCGCGTATGAGGCACCGAACAAGAGCGCGGTTCCCCGTATGGGCGCCGCAATGGCCTTCATGCACTTCTTCCAAAACTTGCTTCGTTTGGTGTGGCCCGAGACATTTAGCAAGGGGACCACCGAACGTTCTCTTGTAGAGCTCGTGGTTTATGAGGCTGTAGCGGGCTGCTTGTACCCAAAGTTTCTTGGCTTCCTTTTTGTCGTGTGGGAGTGTCCCGTCCTGCAGGTAGGATACAAACTGGTTGCGCCAGTCCCAAGTTAAGCTTAATGAGGGTACCTCGACATGGTCGACGGCTGAATGGAGGAGAGTGACCACGTTCTCTTTGTTGATATTTTTGGTGGCTGCGGCTAGTTTTGCTAGGTTGTCCGCCTCGATGTTCTGTCCCCAGGGAATCTGCTCGAAGCGACATTCGTCGAACTCCGTCATCAGCTTGCGGATTTCTGACTGGTATTTTTGTAGCCTCTGTTCCTTAATTTGGTAGGTTCCGGTGACATGGTTTACCACGAGTTGGGGGTCGCAATGGAGGATGACCCGTCGGGCTCCGTATTTGATGGCCAGCTTCATACCTGCAATTACAGCCTTATACTCGGCTTCGTTGTTAGTTATTTTAGTGCATCGTACGGACTGGCGAATTACTTCTCCCGTGGGTACCTCGAGGACGAGTCCCAGTCCTGATCCCGAGGCATTTGCGGCGCCATCGGTGTAGAGGATCCAGAGGTCGGTGTTTGTAGAGGCACGGAGGGCCTCTTGTTCCACCTCTGGCAAGATTCCCGTACTGAAGTCGGCGACGAAGTCGGCAAGTACCTGCGACTTGATGGCGGTTCTTGGGTGATAGGTTATGTCATGCTCGCTGAGCTCTATGGCCCATTTGGCGAGCCTTCCTGAGAGTTCAGGTTTGTGTAGGATGCCCCTTAGGGGGAAGGTTGTTATCACCTTTATGGGGTGGCACTGAAAGTAGGGTCTAAGCTTTCGTGAAGCTATGACTAATTCCAAAGCCAACTTCTCGAGGTGCGGATACCTCGTTTCGGCATCTATCAGAGTTTTGCTGATATAGTAAATCGGGGATTGCGTACCTTTGCTTTCGTGAACTAGGACGGCGCTGACGGCGACTTCTGACACCACCAGATAGACGAGCAGGCATTCGCCGGGATCTGCTTTGACGAGCAAGGGTGGTGAAGATAGATATTCCATCAGTTTCCTTAATGCTTCGACGCATTCTTCGTCCCATTGCAACCCTCGATCTTTCCTCAGTACATTAAAGAATTTGTGGCACCTGTCCGAGGATCGCGAGATGAATCTTGACAGAGCGGCTATTCGCCCGGTTAGTTTCTGCACCTGCTTCTTGCTATTCAGGGTTTCTGGTATCGTCTCTATGGCCTTGATCTGGTCTGGATTGACTTCGGTACCTCTCTGGGATACGAGAAAACCCAGGAACTTTCCGGAAGACACGCCGAAAGCACATTTTTCCGGGTTTAGCTTCATCCCGTATCGTCTTAGTATCTCAAAGGCTTGTTTAAATGGTCGATGTGATCCTCCTTTTTAAGCCGACTTTACTAGCATG